CAATCTCTAAGGCTTCCTCAATAGAGGTTGCCTTTGGTGTTTTCCCTACTGTAGGGTATCTTGGCACTGCTCCAATAAATGGAGAAAAATTACTCCTTGTCCTAGTATGGGTAGGCCTAGGCGGTTCTTCTAGTTGCCTGTTAGGGCAAGGCGTAGAGGCCTCCTCAGCCATCTCAATTTCTAGATTATTATCCATTAGTCGTTTGCTTGTGCCTCTAAGGTCCTTTAAGGCTAGTCTTTTTTTGTTATTTTTATTATTTTGATATGTCTATGTTTCTTGCTAAATTTAAGCTTCAATAAGCTCCTGCGTTCCTATTAGCCCCTCTAGTCTTAGCATTAGAGCCCAAGCTCTGTGAGAAAATTCTCACAGGCGTGAGATAACGAAGGAAGGCCTCCTTCTTCTCCCTACTGCGCGCTAGCGCCTTAGCTGCAGGTGTTGAAAGTGCTGTTAGTCGATTCCTCGTGGTCGGTTCTCCTAGATAGCGTGCTTTCCTAGCGGTTTCCAGAAAACTCGAAGTTGGTGTTGTCCATGTCGGCTTAGATTTGCTTGTTTGCAAACTCTCGGTAATACGATACCCCCCTCACCAAATACTTTTCTTTTTTTGTCCATCTCCTTCCTGACTTTTATCGAGTTACTCCAATTCATTGCTACGCTATATGCAACTCAATATTCTCTTTTCCTTTTCTTCAGTCATGGTACATGGTGGAGCGTAATATACGGTTGAGATTATTGCATAGATCATGTTTCCTTGTGTCATTGAGCATGAATTCAGGAGTAGCTGAATAGAGGGGAATTATAACGTACGACATTTGAGAGGCTTGGGTTGTGGGTGACACGAGGGAGCAAGAGAGAGGAAGAGAGAGAGAGAAAAAAGCACTAGCATCAGCACGAATACAGGTCAGTAAAAATACGATACTGCATTCTCACAGCTCCAGTGCTCAGATAAAAGCGTCCCCCCAGTACGACCTTTTTCGTCTTCACTAGATTGAATTACTTTGACATTAATGTGTGTGATGGAAAACCATACGCTAGACTACATACTCCCTAACGCAAAAGGTATGTATGACTGGGTCTGGCAACGCAGCTCCACCATGTCATCCGCTTTGAAACCACACTTCTACTATATAACAACCTTCCCACCGAAAAATCCCAAAAGAAAACATCTACATCGATCGAAAAAAAGGTGTCGAAATGACATCCAATTCCTTGATCCTCTTCACACCACGACTCATCCTCATCCCCACCACCCTCGCAATCACCAGCCCAGCACACCTCTCGCTCTACGCAAGTCTCTACGTAGACCCTGCATTCTGCCTCATGGGCTCCGGACCGTCGCTCCCAGCAGAATCCTCGACACGCGAGGAAACGCGGCAGAAGATTCTAACACGGGACATTGCGCGGTCGTGGGAAACACGGGATCTGGGGGATTTTGCAGTCTGCATGCGGTCAGGCGTAGAAGTCAATGTGTCAAGTGCACGGGAACTAGCTGGGGCACCGGCGGGAATACGTGTGGTGGAGGGAGTCAGTGAAGCTGGTTTCACGAGGGGATTCACAGATGCAGAGTGGGTGGGTTACGCAGGCGTGCGAGAAGCATCCACGACATGTATGCCTGCGCGCACCGCGAGCAATCCTGTGCTGCCGGCCTGGCAGGAAATGGTCGAGCTGCAGTATGGAGTTGCGCCGCTGTTCTGGGGCAAGAGCTTGGCGCGCGAGGCCGCAGAGGCGATTATGCAGTGGGCGGGCAGGGAGAGAGGTGTAACGAGGTTTATTGCGGAGACGGAGAGGGCGAATGAGAAGAGTACAAGGGTGCTGGAGAAAAGCGGGGTTGGGAAGAGAGCGGGGATAGAGTATTGCAAGGAGGAGGGGGAAGTGGAGTGGGAGAGGGAGTTTGTTTCAGAATGTTGGTGTGGAGATGCTGTTTTGTGAGAGATGTGGGCATTGGTGGAAAGGTTTAGGAGGTTGGTGTAAACGCTGGATTCGAGGGTTGTGATATTTCTCTTGTTTTCTTGGGACCCTCACGGTCCTAAGGGATTAATAGCGTGTTTGGATAGAATATGTAGCTGGTAGAGATTAGTGATACTACGAGACCAGATAGATCGGAACTGTACAAGTATTAGAATAAATAAAGGGTTTGGGCGAGGAAAGGTCTAAAGCAAAGCCTCGCTGAAGTAAGCGGAGAAAAGACCACCAACAGGGATGTGGCAAAGATAGCAACCATAAAAATGTTTTCTGTGTCAGCTGATCTGCACAAGTGTACCGAAAAGCTACGAAAAAGACACCAGTGGCACACAGTGCCGGCTACTTGGATTGGCGTTCCGATTGCATCTCGCAGCAGAGCCTCACTGGGTTGCATCGGCACTATTCCCAGATACGGAGCTAGACCGGCCCAGGTTTACGATAAAGACGGCGTACGGTGCCTTGCTTGATAGGGCCCTGCAGCCGCACCCGTCGGAAGTCGGAGGTATCAAAGCCGGAGGCCTGTGAAATGACAGGGTATGATTTCGGAGCCCCCGATGCAGGCAATGATGCAGCGCGTACAAGGTCGTGTTCAAAATGCTGTCGCATTGACAATGTTCGGCTTGGATTGAGCCTTGTCTTGAAAGTACATCCGACGGACCGGAGAAGAATAGTAGGAGATATAATCATGATGGCTCTTAAGCCCCTCATCCTGTCGTGCCTCAGAATTAGCATGATTACAGGAAATAAATTGTTTCAGCCTCATGCCGCACATAACGTGCCTCGAAAATACATATGTACACGGCCCAGGTCATCGGAATGTCCAAAAAAGGCAAACCGACAGCTCCAGCCAAACCAACTATCGAAAGAACATGGCTAGACGCACCGTGTTCCACGTAGTATCGAGATCCAGGTAGAAGAAGCAGGTGGAGTAGGACGAAAAAAATCGTTTCGATACTGTGGAGCGCGCGATGGAGCGGTTGAATGGTGCCATGGGGAGGCGAAGGCAGGAGACGGTCTGACGTCACCAAAGTAAAGGCAAAAAAACCAATAAACAGGCTAAGACTCGTGGCGCAACTTGGCCGCGTCGATCGGCGCTGCTTGGGCGCCTGCTTTTGATGCTTGAGCGGGGATATCGAAGGGCTTGTTCATGAGGCTCAAAGGACGAGCATGGATGATGTCAGAGCAGTTCGTTCCTTTGCTTTGCGTGAACAGCCGCGACCGGTGATGTACTGCAGGTGGATGATCGCATACCGCGGAACGTCTATGCGCGACTTTTGGACGACAAGCAGTGGAAACAGTGACATGGCGATCTCCTCTTCTTGGGTGGACCAGAGTCGTGTCCCCACTTCAGCCGGCATCCGATTAGCGCGTGGCCCATATTTACTGCTACATCGCCTGGTGTGAGAGACTGTGGGGCATGCGTGGAAATCAACGGTCCCTAGCCTGGAGGCGGCAGTGCGCCACAACTCTGTCAGCGCACAAGATGTAATATGACGTCCTCAGCATTGACTGTGTGCCTTGTGATGTGCCCCGAATGCACGGCGATGCCGCGTTTGCTGCGTCTATGCCATCACCGGCACATCTGCGACGTTATAAGGCTGCTTGTCCCCTGTGTGATTGTGACGCACCATTTCTTCCACTCTCTGTCTGCCCAGCCTTTACAGCTGGTAACCAGGGCTTAGAGAGTACGCTTCTACCCAATAAGCTTTAACCGCTTAGGTACTTTGCTGTCGGCAACATGGCGTCCGCCGCGGAGACGAAGCCGGACATTCACGATCCCCATATACTTCACAAGGACGAGGCTGCCGACGTCGAAAAGCAATCTGGTTCCGATGGCGACCATTACCATGCTGAAAACCCGACTGACCACGCCATCAGTGCTGCCGACAAAGAGCACTACGAGAAGTACGGTACCTACGACCGCTATGAGATCACCGAGGAGGATTGCTATGACGAGCTTGGATTTTCCTTCCCCGAACGGAAGAAATGGATGATTCTCAGTGTCATCTTCATGGTGCAGGTCAGCATGAACTTCAACACATCACTATACAGCAATGCTGTAAGTGGCATCTCCGAAGAGTTTGGTGTCAGCGCACAGGCAGCGCGTGTTGGTGCCGCCGTCTTCCTCCTCACCTACGCTTTCGGCTGCGAGCTTTGGGCGCCCTGGAGTGAAGAGCTAGGAAGGTGGCCCATCCTTCAGCTCAGCTTGTTCCTGGTCAACATTTGGCAAATCCCCGTGGGGATCGCTCCCAATTACGGGACCATCATTGGCTTCCGCGCCCTGGGTGGTCTCTCCACTGCTGGTGGATCCGTCACTTTGGCCATGGTGGCCGACATGTGGGAAGCGTGAGTACTTTTCCTCCCTAAACTGCGGAGATGTCTAACAAAAGCAGTGAAAACCAGCAGTATGCTGTTGCATTCATCGTCTTTTCATCCGTCGGCGGATCGGTTCTCGGACCTATTGTCGGAGGCTTTGTCGAGCAGTTCCTCGCCTGGAGGTGGAACATCTGGATCCAATTGATCTTTGGTGTCGCAGTCCAAATTGCCCACGCTATCCTTGTACCCGAAACTCGCACCACAGTCCTCATGGACCGCATCGCGAAGAAGCGTCGTGAGGAGGGCGAGAAGAACGGCAAGCCGAATAATATCTGGGGACCAAACGAACTGAAGACGTTCAAGGAGCGCTTCAGCGTACACGAAATTCTCGTGACTTGGGTCCGGCCCTTCCGTATGTTCCTCACCGAGCCCATCGTCCTGGTTCTGTCTCTGCTCTCTGGTTTCTCCGATGCCATTATCTTCATGTTTCTCCAGTCGTACGCGCTTGTGTATTCGCAGTGGAACTTTGCAACCTTTGCTGTTGGGCTAACCTTCATTGCCATCGGCATTGGCTACTTCATCGCGTGGTTCTCCTTCTTCCCAGCGATCAAGCGTAACAAACGCCTCCGCGAAGAGAGGCCCGATGATGAGCGCTCACAGTACGAGGCTCGACTTTGGTGGCTTCTGTACACCGCTCCCTGTCTTCCAATTGGTCTCATCATTTTCGCCTGGACTTCAACTGGCCCGCCAATCCACTGGATTGGTTCTCTGATCGGTTCCGCGATCATTGGTATCGCCAACTATGCCATCTACATGGCCACCATCGACTACATGATCTGTGCCTACGGACCTTACTCTGCTTCAGCGACTGGCGGTAATGGCTGGGCGCGTGACTTCCTCGCTGGTGTTCTCACTATCCCCGCAACACCTTTCTTCCAGAACATCGGCGGTGATTTGCATCTCGCGTACGCCTCGACGATTCTATTCGCAATCTCTCTTCTCCTTGTCGTCTCTGTTTACGTCATCTACTGGAAGGGTCCTGAGCTCCGCAAGCGCAGTCCATTTGCCCAGCAGCTGAGCGCCGCCCGTGACGAGACCGGTGGTCGCCGTGTCAGTAATCTCCCCGGTTTGTATGGCAGCAGAGCAAACTCGTTTGCACAACAAGGCGGATCAATGCCAAGTTCTCGCAGAGGTAGTGTAGTGCGTGGCGTTCCTGGTGGTGAGAATAGATATGCAGAAGCTCAGCGTGCTAAGATGCAGAGGAAGCGCAGCGCGAATGCTAGCACTGCTTAAGCGCAGGCAATTTCGAGGCGTAGAAACCCTCTTCAACTAATCAAGATTTAGTACAATAATAGGATTCAAATAATTTCCAAAACAGATGTGCACGAGGCCGTTAAGTGACTAGCGATGACAAGTGTTGGGACTATTGTGAGTGAATTACAGAAGCGGACATGTGCGGGGTCTGAGTGGTGACGTATGCCAAGCCTTTTCGAGTGCTCCCGTGTTGCTGTTCTATCCCCAGTGGATCTCCTCTTGCGGATCTCTCTCCCTCTTACATGAGGAATTATCAATATGCGACAATATGACTCATTTTGCTTGCCGTTTTAGTACAATCCAGGTGTCGAGCAATGCCACTAGAGCATTACGGATTTATGGATCACGATGAAAAGGCATCTGACCCAGGACCCGACACTCAACGCAATTGTGAGTATCTATATTCATTCAGTGGGATTTGGGACAGTTTTAGGTACTATTGCCTTCAGAGTTGGGAGTGCTTCGACATCATCAGCAACAGCACCCGGACTTCCCTCAACCACCCTTCTCTTAAACATATATCTCAGCCGCTTTTCAACGTCGATTCCCTTTGCTTGCCACTCGATACCCTCATTGAACTCATCAAACGTTTTGCCAGCTTCTTTGGCGCGCTGTCGAATACCACGTGTTCGGAACAACCATACTAGATGCGAGACGACCATGCTCATTTCGATAGCGCAACTGTCATCTGTCAGCCCTTGGCAGGACCGACCTGGGAGATCGTTCACTGCTCACCATAAAGCGTACATTGTGCCGAATAAAGCATCAAACTCATTCTGTGCAACCAAGGCCATGAGTGAGAAGAATGCGCCATTCCAGTCGATGGCGAGGAAAATGAAATCTATTCCTACGACTCTTCCACGTCTTTTGAGAAGCTCAAACGGGATGCCTATGTAACCAGAGATTAATGTCAGGAAGGCGATGATGCCAATAAGTAAGACTGGCCACTCCAATCCTTTCGAGTACGACGGTCTGATCGCGAATACGAGGCCGACTTCTACTCCTGCAAAGATAGCAAGAAGGCAGACCAGCATGAGAGATGCGGTCCATGTTCGCCATTTTCTATCATCCGTCAGCCTGGTTACAGAGGAATACCATGTTGCATCACACACCAACTTTTAAGCAGAAATCTTTCATCAAAACTCGTCAATTTTCTATCAGATATAGGGGTAACACGTCGCGAGAAACCGATTTACGCCACCTCTAATGTGTGCAGCCCTCTCGTTGAGGTGCTAGAGGGGGTATTGTCGGTATTCTTGCGACGTGTTCGAAATGCGAAAATCTTCAAGAACGCACAGACCGCCCTGATGACTAATAAGGAGACTACCAAACGAAACTAAAAACAATTAAAAACACCAAATAAAACAACAAAAATCAAAAATCCTATATCTAAACGCCGAGACAGCCTGATCCCGCTGTGGCACCATATCCAACCGCCAGGACAGTCTTTGCCTACTGTGGCACAAAATTCAAAAACGCTATAACAGTTTTCTAGTCTGTAATAGCAAAATAAGTCGAAACGCTGAGACAGTCTTCGCCTACTGTGGCACCAAATCCAAACGCTGATACAGAGACTGGTTACCTCTGTAGAAGCACCAAGTCGAAACGCCAAGACAGCTGCTACTCGCTGGGCACTAAGTCGAAACGAGAGAGTTA